TTAACCCTTAAATTCGAAGTTTTAAATCCAATAATAAGTAGAAAATCTTAATTGTAAACATCTATGTCTAAAATAATGATATGTCTTTCATCCTTATAAATTGTTTATGTCAAATGCAGGTTCTTACCTACCTCCTGGCCCACCCAATGGTACCCATAAGCCTGGTGTACATCCGGCTGGATATCCAATACCTCGGGCACCACTTTCACCATTCCATGGAGGACCCCTTTCTCAACCGTATGCTATTCCAACTCGTGGAGCTGTGCATGGACCAGTTGGAGCTGTTCCTCATGTCCCTCAACCTGGAAGTCGTGGTTTTGGGGCAGGACGTGGAAATGCTGGTGCTCCAATTGGCAGTCATCTTCCACACCAGCAAGGCACACAACAGAATGTTGGGAATATGGGGTCTACCTTCAACTTTCCTGCTCTTGAAAATCCAAATAGCCAACCATCTGTTGGTGGCCCCTTATCTCAACCTGGATTTGTCAATAATGTTTGTACTGGCCCCTTTTTTTTATCATATACCAATTCTCCTAGTTCCTGTTCCTTCATCCACCTGATGCATGTGCTCGTCTTGTTGTATGCAACAGATGCCAGTTCAAGGGCCAAGCCAAACATTTCGTGATGGATTTTCCATGGCGGGCATGTCTCAGGTTTTTCTCGTACTAAACGTGATACTTTTAGTAACTTGTGATGTTGATATTCATCTTTTAGTTTCATCTTTGATTGCATGTTGCCAGGAATTTTTGGGTGACGACTTTAAAAGTCAGGGATCACATGTTCCTTATAATGTTGCTGACTTCTCCACTCAGGTATGAAGTTGTGGTGCTTTTTTCTTTTGTCGTTTTTTCAGTGTATGCTGGGCCATGGGCCATACATTATTTGTTTGCTTCAGCGGTGTACTTCTGGATTTAGTTTTTGGGTTAAGTATATTTTTGTTCACTGTGTTTTGACTCAAAATCACTTATGGTCCTGTGGTTTTAATTGTATCAATAGTGACTGTTTAGCAATGTTATAACAATCATAAGTTGAATAAACCCAAAAAGTGCAGGTAGTTTTAGAAAGCCGATAATGCGGTCTTTCAATCCCTTGGCAACATTTTCTTGAAAGCAGACAGATTGTTTCCCCAAATTGAAAATCTGGATTCTAACTTGTTAATCACCTCACTTTCAAAATTGTTTTTTAAATTGCTAGCAAAACCAAACACTACATCATGCTAATCAAAATTTGAAAAGAAAAGGTTCATAGAAAGAGGATTTCCCTTACCCCTTTTGTGTCCACGCTATTTTCTTTCCAAATGTATCCATCGTCAGTGTTATGTAATTTAAGAACCTCTGTTACTTGCAATTACAGAATTAGTCGTATTTGAAAATTAAAACTTACATTATGCTAGCTTGGTCAACAGGCTTCTCAAAGTGGATATGCTGTTGATTATGTTACTCAAGGAGCACAAGGTGGGTTTCCAGGGAACTTTCTGAACCAGAACTCTCAAGCTGGATATTCTCGATTTGGTACAGGGAATGACTTCATGTCTCAGGTTTGCTAGTTTCCCTTTCTTTTCGTTACATTTTTACTGTGCTTTGGGCAATTCTCAACAGCTTTCTTACAGGACTACATGCCTCATGGATCACAAGGCCTATTTACTCAGGTGGGCTTTAATGACCCATCACAGGATGAAGCATCACAGAACCACTATGGAGTTGCAAATGCCAATCAACTCCAGTCCCAGGTTTCATTTCATACAAATGCTATTTAATAGATTACTACGGGAAAATAATAAAATGGGATGTAGAGACATTTGGCTCCATAATTAGCAAGTCCTTTCACATTGTTCTTCAACAGCGTTAGTGGGTTGGGCATATGACCAACATGTTTACTGCATTCTTCCTCTGTTCTTTTTCAAGTCATAGTTTGGCTTGGTGGTGGCTGTCCTCGCCGGTGCTAATAGCTGATACGTTCAACATATTTTCAGGGCTTTATGAACTCACTGTACTCTCAGCCGTTTGCCCATTACAACACACAGCCAATGAACTTGCAGGCCCCACCACAACAGCAGCAGCAGCAGCAGCAGCCACCGCAGCCTCAGCCTCAGCCTCAGCAGGGTCAGACCTCCCAAAATCAGAAAATCCACTACAATGGTTAAGAGACGGGAATAATGGCTGTGATGGGTTATAGTCTTTTGCATTCAGCAACTCGGTTTGTGCTCTCTTGTGTGCCCAAATACAACTACCCTAAATTGCCGAAGATTTGTCGGTTGCAATCAGTGTGGTTATCTCCAGAACCCCTAGTTGGTATGTTCTGGGTTTTGGGAATACTATCAAATAGAGTGGGCAAATGAGCATTTGGGGTCTGAGCAAACAAGAGCGACACATCCGGTGCTGAGAAAGAAAAGGATAACCCCGATATTACCTGCTTGAAGTTTTGTATTGTTCTGAAGAAGGTAAGAAAAAGATGGATAAGTGAAATGAGAGCATTACATGGCATGGTTTTTGGCGAAAGGGTTCCGGCACTGGAAGAGCGGGGCGCGCTGTATATGCGACTGACAGGGAAATGACCCAATTTATTCATATACAGAAGCAGTTCTACAACAAATTTTGTACAGCATTCTCGGGGAAAGTCGCCTAACCCTTTCGGCTCCAGACATGTAATTATACTCTACATTATAATATCGCATAGACGACGACGATGAAATCTTTAGCAAAGTATTTATCCAGTGCTTGTGCTGCTCGGCGTTGAACCCTTACCCCGCTCAGGTGGTATATAAAAAGCTTGATGATTGGTTTGTTTGTGTAATCTGCCTTCGTTTAAATGCTGCCTAATTGACTCCAGGAATATCTCCCCTCGGTTTCCTTCTCTTTTCTTTTGGCGTCAAGTTTTTTAAAAACACGAGGCCACTTAGTATGACGATTAAGTGGTATTTCTCCATTGGTAAATGAAAGGTTTAGGTTTGATTCTCGTCAAAGGTGAATTTGAATCACGTTATTGCTAGGTCATTGTGAGGCTTAACTCACTAGCTCATGCTTTATGCGTAGACAATATTGTTTTTTTATATTTTTTTTTTCTAATGACCGATTTTGTTATGCTAGATGTTAGATTAGCCATCGACAAAATTCGAACTTACTTCATCATTGATAGGATTAAAAGCACACCACAAAGTAACACACAAATGTCCTATTAATTTTCCTTATTAACAATAATATTTGTCAATTGTAGCATATGAAAATAAGGGTTTTTCCCGCAGAAGATTGTTTTATCTAACTACTTAAAATGTCACAAAAACTGGGTTGCTGTCCCTACTGACCAGCTACCGAAAAATAATTATTAGACCGACTTATACTTATCTGAAGTCTACGAAATTTTATATGCAGATACTAGACGCACAGAGCTACACTCACACAAATTTTTGGGATTTTTGGAGTTGATTTGATATTTAAATTAAATCGAACAAAAACAAGACAGAGACAGATTTTTAAGTAGTTCACAAATTAAGAAAAACGAGTTAGGGGAATTGCTATCCACCACCAAATAATCATGCAAACATGTTATGTCTCATTCAAATTCCTTTCATTTTTGGATGAAGATGCTCAAGTTGGCTCAATGTTAGAACTCAACCTATTACTCTTTCTTACGTAGTACGTTAAGAGAATGACGTTTTCAACTTAACTTAGTCCCTAACATGCAATCTCGAATGGTGTGTTCATAGATTTAACAAGTAGAAATCATTAAGAACGAAAAGAGTTTGAGTCATCACAAGGCATTGTAAGTACTAGTGTTGTCTTACTTATCCTAGAAATTGATTCACATGTTAATCGCAATTAACAAGTACTACTCTAGAACATATGTAGGTCCTCATTCAACAAGGGCAGACACACACATATTCATAGCATTAGAATCCTAGATATGCTTACTAAGTATGCATCCATAGAAAACACATAAAGAATTCATAAATGAGACATGTAGTGAACCAATTTTCATCCATTCGTAAAAATAATTCAAACGAAATGTCATAACAAACTTGCAATCATATTCGGGGCTTCAAAACAACCCCTAACTACTAAAAATTAGTTACACATAATTCTCAAATTAAACCAAAAGAAAGACATGAGTTTGAGAAGATAAAACCGAGAGAAGAGAATGCCAAGATTTCCTCCTTCCTTTCCTTCCTTCCCCAACGCAGCAGCCTTGCCTTTTTCCCTTGCTTTGCTTCTTTTTTTCTATCTTTTTTTCACCCTTTTTCTTTGCTGCAACTTGTAGGTCTTTTCTTCTTTTCTGCTGCTACAGTTTTTTCTCCATAACTCACCCCACTAACAGTCATTTAGTGATGACAATAAGTGGGAGGAAAATGCTAAAACAATTGTAACTCTTTGGGCAGCCTTTATGCCCATTACTCTCACTTAATTTTTCATTTCCTCTGATATTTGAATAGGTGTTAGCTGGCTTGTTCTTGGCTGCATCAGTTTTGGCTGTTAGTTTTATGGGATTTATTGCTTTCAATGCTTTCTTATCAGTTACAAACTGCTCAGCCTCCTTGGAACCTTTAAGTGTTTGAACGGCCATAACTTTTTCTAGAAAAATGATATTAACAATCCGTAAAATGCTCCAGAAAATAGACATCCGTAGCTTTCCAAGTATATAAGGCTCATTCTCTAATTCATTCTGAGCTGTCCGCAACTTGCTTCCAAAGTCAGCTGACCTGCACAAGCAGTTTTGACGAATTTATTACTTAACATTCCACTTGTGTTATTTTTCTTTTCTTTACTTGACAAATCCTACAAAATACAAAAACAAGGTAAATAACTCAAAAATATAAGGAACTAACTAAGAAAAGACAAGTGAATTTGATATAAAATATATATAAATATAAGCTTATCAATCATGTAAGGGTTCAATACCTTATCACCACTGTGGTAAATGATTTCTTGCCGATAATATCGTTTCTTTAAAAGAGAGTTGTTGAAAAACGAACGAAAATAAGTACACTGGTGGAAAATAAAGAAACTTTAGATAGAGCCCTCGACAACGAAAGTTCTTTGGTTATCTTCATGTGGTGGTATGACTTGGAAAATGGCAAAACAATCCAAGCCCTCCATTTCCTCCACCATTTGACTCGGTAACTCAACGAGTCCAAAACCTTCATGTACCAACTCGCTTAAGCACTCGGCGGTCCATGGCCTGACCTCCGTTGACGCCCAAACCGTAGTACCTCTGCTGCACACGCTCTTCAACGTCTTGGCCAACCCCACCATTTCCTCTTGGTTATAGAACACGTCAGACATCAAAATTAGGTCCAACTCGCTGATTTGACTCGGTGACTCGTCCGATCCCCACACGAGTTCCCTCACCTGGACTCGGTCCCCGAGTCCGTTGGCCTCCACATTCCTCAACAGCCCCGGAAGTAGTGGCCCCATATCCGTGAGAAGGACTCGGCTCGCTCCAAGCCGAGCCGCTGTCAGGCCCGGAAGTCCTGCCCCAGCACCGAGCTCGAGGACGGACTTATCTTGGAAGCGAAAGTGGACTGCGCCTTGGGTGGCCATCCAGTTGGATAGGACAAGGGCCGAGTCCCAAACCCATGAGCCGGTGAGAGCTCGACCCGTTGTTGAGTCACTGACGTCGTCTAGCTCGTGGATAACTAGGGTTTGGTCTGCAACCTGGATTTGTCTCGTGCCCATATTCTGTCAGCTCTCTTCCTTCACTTGGTAGGTAGTGTTGCTACAATGTTTTATATACATGAGGGTTTTCTTTGTTCTCGTTACTTTCTTTTGACAGAGAATATTTTCTTTGAAGTGGAAGAACTTGGTAACTGTTTAAAGTAAGAACAAAGCTGTTGTATGAGAGTTTGTGCTGGCTGTTGAGGTGTCGGAATATCGGCATCTGAAGCTTGTGCTAAAGCGGTGACTTGAGAAGAAAGCAAGAAAAAGGTTTAGAAAGTTGGATGAGCGTCAACCGACCTTAGGTATAAATGCTCTTAACCACTTGAACGAACTCAAACATGAATACGGGAGGTTATAAAAATGGTAAATGATCTATGCACGCTATTTTTCTTCTTTTAGGGATCCTAGGATCTATGCACGATTTTTTATCAACAGTCCGTATCATTGATCCCTAGGATCCCTAAGGAGGGGATTTGGCGAGCATCCAAATCCCACTTGAACGAGCTCAAACATGAATACCGGGGGTTATAAATATGGTAAATGATCTATGCACGCTATTTTTCTTCTTCTAGGGATCGTAGGATCTATGCACGATTTTTTATCAACGGTCCGTATTCATTGATCCCTAGGATCCCCAAGGAGGGGATTCGGCGAGCATCCAAATCCCACTTGAACGAGCTCAAACATGAATACCGGGGGTTATAAATATGGTAAATGATCTATGCACGCTATTTTTCTTCTTCTATACACTGTTAATTTATTTTATTTTCTAGCCACTAGATTAACCAAATCAAAAGAGAATCTAGGGCTAAATAAAGAGGAGGCGTACGCAGAAGGTTAAAGATGGTGTACAAAAAATCACTCCCCAAAACGAATGGCTTGCTGGGATTTGAAAGCAACAATACACAATTTTGTAATCAACGAAATTGAAGCATCCCTTAGGCTGCTGCGATTCAAAAGTGTGTCTTTTGCATTGACCTAATGCTTTTGGTCTTCAGGAAAAGTTAAGACAACTAAATAAACATAATAACTGAGGGTTATCAAAACTCATCGGTAATCATTCCACTACAACCAGCTTCCGATACCCTTCCCCTTAGATGGCTGCAGCTTCCATGCCAGAGTTGGGGCGAATTTCTCCATCATTGTCCAAGAACAACCTGAGCAAATCGTCGGAGAAGCCATTTAGTACGGTCACCCCCGGATTTGTACAAGGCTCCATCCACCTCCTCGGCTTACCATCCTGCATTATCCAATACACAATTTTTGGCACCGCATGTTCATACCCCTTCTCCTTAAACTCGCCCTGTATGGCCGGATGAGCCTTGTCCCACCTTCTGGCTGTAGCTTCGTCAAAGTATTCAATCCCAGTGAACACAAACACCTTCTTGATCATTTACTCCGGCTTCAAATTAGCATTCACAGCCTCCTGGAGAATCAAGTCAAACACCCTCTGAAAATCAATCCTGCAGGTCGTCTTGGAAGTATTCCATCCTCCTCACAAACTCGCACTTGTAACTAAGTTGATCGCCTTGTATCAAACGTAGCTGAGGCGACTTACTGAAATTGATTGTCTTTCCTTTCCATGGCTCTTCATTCAGCTCAGACAACAAGAGTGTCCAAGCCACCACCGTGTCAATCGTGTGCCTACAGTTGTATACCAAGGCCGTTTCACACACAGCCAAGCAGTTGTTCAGATTTCCTTGCTTTGAAAAGAAGTGCTCCACCATTGTCTTCCACTGAAGCTCAGCCGCTTGTGCAAAATTCCAGTGATTCGCATAGCTTATGATCCCATGGGGAAGTAAAGCATCGCCTATGATATTGGAGTTTTCGGCTTTCACCTTTTCAATGTACTTCTCAATACTCCAAAACTCACATACTGGTGTTATAGAACCTACCTGAGTTCAATATAATTATTTTGACGATGATCTGAAGATAGATCGTGCCTAAACTGCACTAAAAATTCGTTGGAAAAAAGAGGGAAATACTTTGAAACTCTTGCTTCAGCAATCGCAAGATCAGGGAAAAAAGACCTTGGAAACCAATTTTATGACCTTCCACAAAACGCCGAGAAATCTGGGTTTACAGGGATGCAAAACTCCTCTGAAGACAGAGAACCTAAACAAAATATCCAAAAAAAAAAAAAAAGAACAAAGGAAAACGGCGATATCTGTCGTGAATATTTTACGAAACGAAGAAAACAGAATTTTAGAGGAAACGAAGGCGAGACTAGACGGAGAAAAGAAGTGATTGGCAAGAGACAAGGGCAAAGCAAATGATAAGGCGATGAAAACCAGTCGAAGCGTATAGATGAATGATGACGGATGCATGGCAATATGGGCAAAACCGATTATTTACTGTGGAATAGAGGAAACAACACGACATGCATTGAAGAAACCGAAGGGCAAGAGCGTCCTGCCACTGGTCATCAACAATACTCCCGAAACTGAGTTTTAGCATGTAGGACTAACGATTGGTGTCCGTCCGTTGCTACAGGTTTTAAAATCATACAACGCGTCATAAGGCCATCTCCAACCGAAGGGTCCAGGGGGTCAGAGGGTCGAAAATAGCCCGAAAACCGTTTCTAACAGAGGACTAGGCCAGATGACTCGTGGAATCTAAGAGGGCCCCATGGAATCTGAAAGGGTTGGAGGGCTGGCTGCATGGCTGGCCAGAAAAATCATTATTCCTGTCGGTTATAACTGATAAGAATCCTTAAGCTAAAATTCAAATGCAATGGCTAGCTGACGTCAACTAGCCATTGCATTAGATTTTTTTTTTTTTTTTTTTTTTTTTTTTTTTTTTTTTAACAGTTTTATTATTGTTGTTTATTTATAAAATTTTTCCTATAACTTCTATTTCACAAAATTTGTTTCATTTTATTTTAAATTCTATTTTTTTCCTATAACTTCTATTTCACAAAATTTGTTTCATATTTTTTTTTTAAATTATATTTTTTTTCCTATAACTTCCTAAGCCATTATACAACATTAAATTAAATTAAGCAACATGAAACAACATTAAACAGTATGAAAAAACATTAAATAACATTAACCAACATTCAAATTATACAATATAAAAAAAAACATTTAACAACATGAAACTTAAACAATATTTTTAAAAACATTTAACAACAGAAAACTTAAACACCTACTCCATGCTTCTTTTAGCCCAAATATGTGCAACAAGATCCTGTTGTAGGTACTTGAACTTCTTCATCAGACTCCTCATCTTCTTGTCTCATTTGCGCCCATTTTGCTTCCAATTTGGAATTAGATGAGGACCCCCAGTTGGAATCCAAAGAGGATCCAAAGTTGGAATTCATTGCAAACTTGAATTGAAAAAGATTGAAGTGAAAGAGATTGAATTAAAATAGATTGAATTCAAAGTTGTGTGAATTATAGCCCAATATCCACCATATTTATAGCAAAAGAAAAATTCAAATCCAACGGCTAGCTGACGTCACTTAGCCGTTGGATTTGAATTTAAGTTCTAGTTTTTAAATAATAAATTATGTTTGGCCCTTTAATCCTCGGTTGGAGACGGTTTTTTGTGACAGGGCTAAAACGAGCCCTATAGCCCTTTGACCCTCGGTTGGAAACGGAGGCAAATATGGCTCTGTACTGTTCATAAAAATATTAATTTCTTGGAAGGCCAGAAGGCTAACACGAGCCCTCTGGCTAGTCCTCGGTTGGAGATGGCCTAAGTTCTAAGTGGAAATGTACCATGTACGTACATGTGATTGATGTCTCATTGTTCATTAACAATAGGCAATACTATATTTACATACATGTGGAATGTTAGAAGGAAATTATTGACCTTTTGTTCTAAATCAAAAAGAACACTAATTCTAAAATAAAATTTCAAAATACCTTTCCAATCAGTTGAACCTCAAGAAGAACGCTAATTCTAAAGTACAAATTCAATTACTATTACCAGTATGATTAGCTTGTAACGACTTGTCGTAAAAAGCATCCAATTTCTCATTTTGTCTCCAATTTCCATCACTTCAGTTGCCCCTTTTGCAGATTTTTTTTCCTTTCTTCCAGTGAAGCCAATGTTTTGCCTTACACATTGGTTCAACCTCATCTAGATGATGTAAATAAAAATTTATAACATATTCAAAAAACATTCGTGCCATCTATTTATTTATTTATAACATATACTAACAATACTAAATGCACACATTGTAAATAGTATTCTACATAAATACTAACCACACAATGCAAAAATACTCGCTGGCAGCAAAAAAAATACCTGATTGCTCATCTAGATAATTCAAATACAAAAAATCAACTTTACACCAAACACAACAGACCTCTCTTTTCTTTACAATTATGAAAGAAATGAACATAAAAACTTGGTTATGCCAACATACTTCTTAGAAATTATATTCATTTCAAAGAAGAACCAAACCAAAAATGCACATAAAAACTCATTGAATTACTAAATTTGAACAATTTGGGTAATTGGGTATCCTCAAAACAATTCAAAGAGCAACAATTCAGCACGAAAGCAACATAAAAACAAAAGAAAGACCAAAACTAAGAGCAACTCCAGCGTTAGAGCCCTCCCCCCTGGCAATACACTATTCAATCCACCTAATGAACAGTAACTGCCCTTAATGAACAGTAAGTAGCCCTGGCAATAGAATTTGCATCTCCACCGTTACACTTCAATAGCCCTGGCAATAGGCAATAAAATATTAGTATTTTGTTTATTTATAAAATAATACAAAATAATTTTAATTGTAATATCGGATAAGATTTTTAATCGTTCTCGTTGCGCCACGTGTCATTATCCGAAGTATTATTAAATAATACAAAATAATACAATTATTGGTGATGGATATCTGATAAGATTATTAACCAATCACGTCGCGCCACGTGTCATAATCGGTTCACAATCTTTGAGGATAGATTTTCATCAGATTTTTAACGAATGACGGCATGCCACGTGTCATAATCTGTTCACAATCTTTGAGGATAGATTTCCATCAGATTTGTAACGAATGACGGCAT